TGTGTGTGTGTGTGTGTGTGTGTGTGTGTGTGTGTGTGTGTGTGTGTGTGTGTGTGTGTGTGTTGATCTCAGTCATCCAGCGGTACCCAAAAACGATGTACAACTAACAACAATGGAAAGGGTGCATATCCCAGGGCAGGATTTGATCTTTAGAAAAGAATGATAGAAATGGGACTGATCAAGCCCAGGGCATAGAAGTAGTGAGATGAAATGATTTTAGTAAGAGAATGATAGACAACATCTTTTTTCTAATATATGACAGCGTAGGCATAACAATAACTTGTGGCTTCACAGTGCTAATCATTTCAGGAACTCCGAGCCCTTTACAAAGGTGGACAAGTGCTCTCCCCATTTTACGGATGGGGAAATGGGAGCACCAGGGAGTTAAATGAACCCCCATCTCCCTAGGAGGACACACAGTGAGTTGGGCATGTTTCTGGCTGAATCAAGACCCAAGTTTCCCAGCCCCATGTTCTGAGCAGTTTACCAGAACTTCTGATTAAAGATAGATCAAACTGTGAGCATTAGTGCCGATATGCAAATCGAAGAAAAGCCCACGTTCTCGAAGCCAAAAAGAAGTGGCCCGGGGAAGGACCATTTAGTCGTCTAGCTGAAAGTGTTTACAGTCAAAAAGAAAACAAAGCCGCTTTTTGTAACACTACTCAGAATGCAGTGTTATGACAAGTGCATCTCAGTACAATACCTGCCCCCTGTCCGTAAACCGACCAAAGCTTCGTGTCTTCCTCCTGGCTGAGGACATGTCTTTTCTGCAGTGCGTATAAATCTGCATTGACTTCCTTTCGTGTCGTCTTTCCCATATGTTTGGCAATGGCTAATGCACTGCGAGATCCATTTTCTGACAGAAACTGGTAAATCTTTTCCTCTGGGAAACAAAGGGTGGGCTTATTGATTCACTGCCAGAAATGGAGGATAACGCAGCTAAATTTCTATCCTGCTCCCCGGGACTACTGGGCTGATAATCTATGGCCCCAAGGCCTCACATCGTCTACCAAATTCCCCTTTGAATCTTACCAAGTTATCAGCTCACGTGACTTCACTGGGATTGCTAGAAATGAGCTCTGTGCTATCCAGCTCGGGCCCACCATTACACTAGCTGCAAAGGGAATGGGGAGGAGGTGGAGCCATAGTTCTGTCTCTATACACCAACTACCAGAGCTGGTGGGCTGCATGGAGTAGATAGGGCAGTATGCTGTGCCATTTAAAGGGGTGTAGCAGTCCATGTGCTCCACTGTGCACTAAGGTGCCTGAGGTGGGGCTCTGCCTCCCTGAGACAGAGGGTTTCTAGAGGTGCACCTGGGATGAGGAGGCTTTACAGTACTATGGCCTGAGTGCTATTAGCACAAGGTATTCCTAGCAGGGATATGATTTATGACTCCTAGAACCATGCAAGACTTCTACACATACAATAGTGCAATGCTAGCGTTAATAGCATTCTATTGTGGCTGCCAAAATTCATTACATGTAGATTTCTAAAGTTAGTCTATTCAGTCTTAGGCACGTGCCAAATATCTTACGATTTTCTGACAGTTTGCGGTCATCTTTCACAGGAGTCACAGCGTTCACAGGCTGGTGCAGTGGGACTAGGGCGGTGTCATCTACAACAGAGAACATTGTCAGGCACTGTAATTGGGGGTGTGTGTGAAAAGTTCTGCTATTTAGCTAGGAAGAGAGACTGATTCCTCATTTTCCTTTCTTGTACCAATCTCCTAAGCCAGACTCCCAGGGGAGCAGGCATCCTTGCTGCATACCCTCGGTACTGATCTTCACCCACCGCCAGAGAATGTGGGGCTTTAGAAGAGCTAAGATATTGGCAGATGGTTGGTTTGCTGGATGGCTTGGGTTGATCAGGGAGGGGGAAGGGCACTTCTCTGCCTTTATGTGGAGTTCGTCCTCTCTCTAGTTATCTTAAAACTATCCCAGCCAAAGTTCCCTGGCTAATAAAGGGCTCCATGGTCCCCAATGAAGGGGAAAGGACACTGGATCAAAGCCCATGGGGGGTTCATGCAGAGCTTTTCATTGTGAGGTTCAGAGAGTGATTCACCCTCCTGTGGAAGAAGTTGGGGATCCCATGAGATCCACAGGATATTCTTCTGCAGAAGCTGTGCTTACAGGGCCTATGCCTTCCAGATGCCTCTTGGAGGGATGAAGGTCTCCAATGCAAAGGGTGTGGCAGTGCCACGTTCCCCTGCCTGGGAACCTGGTTCCTCATCACAGCTCTGTGACGCTGGAGTCGTGGAGAGGCTTTTACAGGATGGGTGAAGTATTCTGTAGAGGATTAACTATCCCCTTCCCTGGGTGCAGACCCCCCGCATCTGAGCGAAGAGAGGAGCCTGACACTCAGAAGAATGGCCCTACTGGGTCAGACCAAAGGTTCAACTAGCCCAGTATCCTGTCTTCTGACAGTGGCCAGTGCCAGGTGCCCCAGAGAGAATGAACAGAACAGCTAATCATCAAGTGATCCATCCCCTGTCGCTCATTCCCAGATTCTGGCAAAAGATATTTCAAAGATATTTCTGAAGAGCCAACCTTTGTCTGCTTCTGAAATGCACCAAGATTGCAGGTATTACAAAAGAAATGTCCTAGGGCAGGGTACCCTCAGAGAACACTACCTGGGGTTAATCTGCCTTCCCTATTTACCACCCAGGACAAAGAATGCAAAAACTGCCTAGGAATGAATGCACCTTCTGCTTTAGTCAAGTTTCAGTTCTGTACAAAAGAGAAAAACACGGAGCTGATTGACTTGCAACTCACTGTACTGAGTAAAAATGGACTCAAAGTAATTGGGGTCAAAGTCTCACGAATCTCTTATGCAGTTAGGCTGCAATGTAGTTACAGACTTGAAAACAAACTCTGCTCCCAAATGCCCTCAGCATCAGAGGTTGCAGACATAGTTTTAAAAGGTTTCTCAAAACATTTACCGATTTTCAACTCGGCGGTTTTCTGATGACATTCCACCTCTGCATCCGCACGGACAAGCCATTTGTTATCATCACTCTGCTTCTCAACCTTTCCCTCCTTCTGCAACTTGTACAGCACTTGCTTGGCTTCCTTTCTGGTAACTGAACATGCACCGGCAATCTCACAGGCCTTCTTTGGAGTGGCAGCTCTCCTTAAGTGGTCAAAGATGAGTTGCTCCACTTGTGAAGCTAAATGTAAGCACAAAAAGCCATCTACAGACAATTCTAAGCAATTCAGACAATACTCCCCCCCGCCCTTTTCTTTTGGCAACCAGACTTTATTTGCTTGCCCCTGATCTTCAGTCTGAATTTTGTGTGGATAACTGTGGATATAATATTCATGCAATAATGATCACAGAAGCCAAATGGGGAAGTGTGACCAGACCCAAGCAGTGTAGGCATGGAATGAATTGAAATTACAGGCTGGCGTGGCTTTGCACTGCAGTTGTCCATCATATAAACAGGTGCAGTTATATATTTAGGCTTTAATGAATACGTATTTACCCACCCAAAATGACATCCTCAGAGCAGTCACTGTCATTGGCTTAAGGACTTATTTTAAAGAGTGATGCCCACATTATTTTCCCATACTGGACTGTTTTGTCTTCTTTAGACACCACTTCACAAGCCTAGCACCACTGATTAAGTCTGGGAGGGATGTGAGGATCTAGCTTCTGAAGGCCACAAATTGACAATTTAAAAGAGATGCCATTTGGAAAAATGCTGCCCATATCCAGGGTTGAAGTCAGAGGCACTGGTCCTCCATCCATCTAAGCATTAGCTTCGCCTCTTCACAAACACAAAAAGAGCCCCCTGTCTCTGAGGCATAACTAAAATTCCCAGTGGCTACCCCTTCCTTCAGGTTATATGGTTTCATGAGTGGCAAGTTAGTACCCTGCCTTTTTAGAGATGGGGTAATCTCTGCATCTCTGGGTATTCTTGTAAGAGTCAGCAGTCCCTTCTCTGACTGCTTCATGCAGAGTAAGAACTGAAGAGATGTTAGGGTGAATGGGCTAAATTAGCCTGTGAGTTGGGGGACAGAAATTACCCTCTTGTATTCATCAGCACTGAGTCTTGTCCTTTCCCTGCCACGAGGGATGCTACACATTATGTGCTGCCAGTAGTCAGCCAAAAAGCAATCAGCAGGGTGGTGCAAGGTCTCCTGCTTGCTAAGAGACTGATCTTGCACCACTGAAGTGAGGGGCGTTTTGTCACGGCTTTCAATGGCCTTTGGATCAGGGCCTCTCCTGGGTGCAGTGTGAGGTCCACTATAAGGATCTCAGTCCCAAGGATCCTGGTTGCACCCAAATGCTGCATGTTTTACTCATGGCCTTCTATCTCCACCTGTGCCTGTCATGAGAGATTTTTTATTTCTTTTCATGAAGACGAGGAAAGAAGGGGTGTAGAGCGGAGCACAAACCGACAAAGAGCAGAAGAAGCATCTCTGACTGGAAATACATTGGCACATCTAACTAAAAACCACTTTTATTTTCCTCAAAATGCTACAGCTGTGAAACATGGTTTACCCTTGCATACAAACTAATTTAATCAGGAAATAGGAAATCCGAGGCAAGAGGGCTTAGCTGTCATTTTACAAAAACAATTAAATGCATGAAATGTATCCTAATGATATTATTAAAGAGAAATTCCAATCATCCATTAGCAGCGGCTTTAATTATTGCAAGAACATTACAGTCAATATCATTAAAATGAGGAAATCATTTGCTATGCAGACTTTAAAAAAATAAAATAAACACAGATTATTTGCTCCTCCAGAGAAACTCCAAGAAGCTACTTTTGAATGCAACTTTGATTACATTTGTTTATTGAAGCTGATAGTAAGAGAGACTGCAGACACTGCTCAAAAGTGACAGCATCATTGTAAAAAAGTCAGAGGCTGAGTGAAGCAGTCCTGTGCCATTGTTATATATTCATGAATGTGTTTAGGAAGCTGCAGATAGTCAGCTCTGACTAATACTTTAACACTAACCTGACAATGGGCTGTTGACATTCATATATGACAGCAGAGTTCCAGCACTGAAATTAAATAGTCATGAATGAAAAAACCTGAGCTGGGTATAGTATCGATGGGCTAGCAAATGAGTAAAGGCCTTTCTGACTCTTGCTCTTTGAGGATCTGATCCAACTCCCATCAAAGTCTATGGAAGTACTTGTATGGACTTCAGTAGAGGACAATTCAAGACCTGAAGTTATGGCCTGGAAAGGCCCTCATCTCCCATTGATTTCAGCACCACTCAACTGGACCCTAGAGAATGGGCTTTCAACCACAGAGAAACTATCCCAAACAAATTGTCCCAAACTGTCTTCCTAATGCAGGCCAAATCCTATGCTCTAATATTCATGCATGAAACTCACATGGATATCTGAAGAGAAAATTTGACCCTCTAGTGAAGGATGTGACACAGCAAAATGTCTAAAGTGAGGAATTATACCCTTTCCACTGGATTTCACATCTCCAGCTGCTTTTATTTTTTGAATTTCAGTGCCATTCACAGCACATTTTTTACTTTTCCCAGCCATAGTGTAAAGTTTTCACTGTATGTATAGTTAAATTCAGCTAACGTTGGTGAGAGTTGCCTCCTTAGATATGAGACGCACTGCTTCCTAAGTTGCATTGCCAAGTGCCATTTGGTTTGGACTTCTCCCAAATCCTTTGAAGAGCCAGACCTTTCAGGAAAGATGTTCTGTACCTGGGCCTGATCTGAAACCCATTGAAATCAATAGATGTCAGCCCTGTATGAGCCAGTGCTGTATGCATGTTTAGGCACATTTATGCATTTATTGTATAATGCAAAATTTGTACTAATAAAGATGAAGAATAGATAACAGTGACTACAGCCAGGAGATATGCCCCACACAGTCCTGCCCATGTATGTTGAGTGTGAGTTTCAGCAGCACTGCTGTTCCAGTCCTGGCTTCTGTTACCCAAGGTGGACCAGTTGTAGGGTTGGGTTTTTTTGGTCAATAAACCACAATTAGGTATGTTGAACTCCTGGGCTTTTGCACACCTCAACAACTAAGGTAATTTACCTTCAGACATCTGAAAAAATGCACCAGTGGCCCAAGACTACTTTGTACTTGCAATAAATAAAACCACATAAATGTGCTTAAAAATGACAAAAGATGGTTAGGAAAGTTTACAATAGGCATTGAAATCTGAATAATCGAGACTTAAGGTACTTACAGGGCTTTCTTTTACCCTATCAAGGCAATTGAGATCAGCTGAACATCCTGAGATCTGCTCTGAATCAGGGCAAGGCCTCATTTGTAGAGCACCCTTCACGAGTGGGTAACCAGTTTATGTTTTTCAAATTCTGACTCTTATCTTTATGTGCTGCCACCGCTCAGATTGCTTTGCAGTGATGGCGCTTTATGAATTAAATAACTCAAAAAAGCTCCAGAAAAAATAGTTCAGAAAGAAAGAGCAAGAACTTTGTTGGAGTTTTTTTTTCAAGTTGTGTTTTGTTTAGCTTTTGCAGAAGGAAGAACCATCAATGAGCTGTTAAAAGGGTCCTTGGATGTTGCTCAAAACATCTTTACAAATTGGGATTGTCACTGGAATTACTGACTGATCTCAAGGATCTGAGGACATCATAAATACCTACTCTGTGAGAAAGTCATCAATAAAGATCTCAGTCAGGGGACATCTATTCAGAGCCCTGAGCAAACTGTTATTATACACCATGGGCTGTTTGTAGTGGCGTTTTAAATCCAAATTCAGCTCCACAGCACATTTAAAAAATACATCCCAGCTAAAAATTTAGCTCCTGCAAATGCCCATGCAGCTACTCAATGACAACTGTGTGAGAACAAGCAAATGCATCGGTTGAGTGATTGGGTGGATACCTGCTGAAAGAAGGGGATTTGCAATTATCCATGGGTGATTTTCTACATGTACATGTCCCTTTATATCATAAAATCAATTAGAGACAGTCATTTGTTTCTGAACACACTGGTTGGAGAGAACTATTAGTTCAGAGACATTAATTTCTGGACAAATGTTTACAATTAAAATGTAATTTTGATTCCATTCAGTTCCTGTATCACCACATTGTATCTCAGCCAATTCTGGAGAATAAATGAACGACTTTAGAAGATACAGTTCAGGCTGAAGCATGATGGGAAAGGACTCCCAGATGGTTTGCTTTTATGAGGTTTCGCCATGACCAATAGGGACGACTTGGGGACATGGATCAGATTAGTCCTGCCAACCCGAACCTTTGTTCCTCTTGAGAGCCAAGCTCTAACAGAATCTTTTCCAGAGATTCAGAAACGTTTGGACTTGGGAAAAGGACCAGGGAAAACGTCACAGGGAAGGTATTTCTCAGGTCATTCCCAACTCTGCAAGCAATAAAGGTTCAGAGAACTCAAATAAACTTTTCAGGATGTGAACTACTGGGAGCTTATACAGATGGCAGGCAAATGCTAACCCTTCTCCACTCCAAGGTTTTAGACGAAAAGTGAAAATGAAAGCATGTACATTTCCTCTTTTATCTCCCCACCTCATGGCCACTTTCTCCAAAAAACTATACAAAGTCAAAGAAGTTTCTCAGTTTACGCTGTAACCAAGATCAGAACGTGATCCAGTCACTGGCTTGATTGATAAGCATTACCATGGGAAATTCTAGTCTAATGGACCAGGGCTGGCTCCAGGCACCAGCGTAGCAAGCAGGTGCCTGGGGCGGCCAATGAAGAGGGGGCGGCACGTCCGGCCGTTCGGTGGCAATTCGGCGGTGAGGCTGTCTTGGAGGGAAGGACCTGCCGCCAAATTGCCGCCGTAGAATGAAGCGGCGGTAGAGCTGCCACCGATCGCGGCTTTTTTTTTTTTGGTGCTTGGGGCGGCAAAAATGCTAGAGCCGGCCCTGTAATGGACAATCCAAAGGGGGGTGAGGAAAGCCATAAAAAGGTTTTGCCGCAAACAGGAGGCTGTAATAAAGGGGCCAATCCTGCAAAGGCTCATATGGTGAGCAGTCCTTGGGAAGTCAATGGGGTTTCCCACACAAGCAAAGGGTTTTACAGGATTCAGCCTGAATCTAGAGAGAAGAGAAGAGGGTAAACACACATTCTGTGCTTGGAAAGATGGTCCACCTTTCCAGCCAAGATGAAAAGAAAGGGGAAAAGAGGACTGAATTTCCTTACCTCGCTGCAAATAAGACCCCATCTACATTGGTCTTATAACCATGTAATGTGGTTCAAGTCCAGTTTGGAAGTGGACAAAGCTGGCGTCCAATCCTGAAAGGTGCTGAGCCCTAGAGAGCACCTCTACTCCCATTCTGCTAAGTGGGAGCTCAGTGTACCCAGGATTGGGCCCCAGAGTGGAACAGTGCCGCATGTTTAGAAGGTTCGCTATTGCTATGTTGACAAAGCATTAATAATTAGAGGCAAGCTCCCTCTCTCACCTCGTATCTAGTCAGAACAAGTCCAGCCTGGCACTACAAGTTGATCTCTTCCATATATGAATGCAGAGCCGTGAAACAGCCTGGGAAAGCTGGTGCTCTCGCTGTTGCCAGGTGCCAGCTGTGGGGGCTCTCATCCAACCAATTCTTTTTTGTGGCCATTTAATTGTTTTCTTTAATTATTATTTTGTCCATAAAGATTTAGTAGCTCAGCCACCAAAGCTAGGTGTAAACTTGTTCACCGAGCTAATTAGAACCTAACAGCACAGCCACCCAAAGCCTCAGGCAGTGCACAGCTGGTGGCTCTTGGACCGGGAGATCTTCTGGCTAAGGCTATGCTGCAGTTCCATGGGCCACAGGCGTGGATTACACACAACTAACCGTGTGGGAGTGATTCTCATGGGCACACCGTCTTCCAGGTTGGGGGGGCTGAACCTGAAAACAGCTAATGGACCCAGATGAAGGAATTGCCAAATCTGACTCCCTTTTTTAACCCTTCAGTCCCTTCCGGTCAGATGTCTTCATGATAACTGCTTGATAGCTTGCTCCTCCCACCTGCCAGCTTTGGGGTGGTGGGGGGGTCAGTAGGGAAACCCATTTCTCCCCAAATTCTCATGGCTAGGGTAGTCAAAAATGTCCCATCAAAGCTTGTTTTCCTATGGAAAACTGGGGGTTTGGCTGAAAGTCTCTGCTATCATTAGTAATATTAATTTTTCCAAAAACTTTAGCCCGTAAAACAGGAAATTTTCTGCTTTCATTTTGGGGGGGGGGGAGGATTGGACAGTTTGGGGCTGAAAATATATGGTTTTTAGTTACTGAAAACCAAAAAGGTTTTGGCTTTCAAAATCTTCTGCTGAAAATCTTGTTTTTGTTGAAAATTTTCCACAGAAAGACATTCCATTTTCTGGCCAGCTCTATTCATGGCATTTGCAAGTAAACGGTGATGTTTCCCATCACTCTTCCAAGGCATATGAATGATGGCAAAGACACAACCCATAATTTAGATTTTGAAGCACCCTTCCGCTACCTTCCTGTTGCTGGGACACATAATGCCACTCGTATCACGCCGGTCACACCTATGTACTAAACATCAGCAGTAATAGAAAAAGCAAGAAGTATAAATGGGCAGCTAGAAAAGTCAGGCAATTGTTCACTAAAAACTCAGAATGTCTTTAAAAGCAAATCTTACCTGCACTAGACGGTGCTTTTGCCATTTATCCGAGTCCCAAAGCAGATTGAGAGTCAATTACAGAACTTGCCGGAAAACGACTGACTCCAATGTATGAGCATGTATCAATCAGCAAGCACCAAATATCCAGTCAGAACTAAAAGAAAAGAGTAACTTGGGGTTGGGTTTCTGACAAAGGACACATAACTACGTGGTGAAGCTGGAAGTGGAAAGTGAAACTTACATATCTCATAAACTGAAACCGAGCAGGCTGACAAGACAAAGTCCACTGTACAAATGTTTGTTTGGGGAATAAAGCGTTACACATGACTCAGACAGTTCTTGGCAATTTTAGTTTGCAGCAGATTTAATATACATCAGTAAGCAAGAGTAGGGAACTTCCTGATAGAAGCAGTGAGGATATTAATAGAAAAACAGGAGGGATGAATAGGCATTCCACTCCCCACAGCTTACCTTTATGTGTTCCCTTCTCTTACATAAGTGTCCTTTGCTCAGTGTCATCCATTTAGGCACATCTCAGACTTGCTGGTCTGGAAGATCCTTCTTTGAAATCTCTCTGAGCTTCCGGGAGCAGAGTCACATGGATCTACATCCTCAGACTTTCATAAAGGACAACATGCTGTGTACTCTGTTGCATTAGGAGCCATTGTGTATGGACCATTCTTTGTGTTTCTTTTTGCAGAGATCGTTCTTTTTTAAATAAAAGTTTCTCCTCCACTTCCAAAGTTCTTGGTCATGTCAAAATTCTGAACAACAAGGCCCAGCTATTTATACAGTGTATGCATGCCATTGTGTGCATTCAGGAACAACAATTGTGTGCACAGTTTCACTAGTTATTTATGCAAATAGTTGATACAGGGTTTTCGCATGCACAGTTACTGCAGCTGTGGTAACTACAATTGCAAATAATGCATGCAAAACTCTGGGCCTGGGAGAGTTACAAATAAGGAATAAGCTCTGCCAAACCCAGTGTTACCAACTTTCAATTTGCAATGGGAAATCTTGCAATATTTAATATTTCGTGTTTTTTTCTTAAAGTGCCAGATTACAAAGTCAAGTGATTACAGGGGGGGAAAAAATAAGATGCAAGTTTCTAACTCTCATGGTTACAGAAGAAAAACTTGAAAAGGCTCTAAGACAGGAAGGCAAATAAAAATAATTCCACATTTAGTATTTTTAAAGAGTCCAGATATTTTTTAAGCTAATCTCATGATTTTGAGGGGCCTGACTCGTTTTGAACGTTTGGGTTTGGTTATGCTGTGAATCCTACAGCTACGTCCTCCTGTCACACACTGCAAGATGATCAGTTGTGGGTGGAGCAAAGAGTGAGTAACACAGTTCAAACCATGTTGCAAATCTGTAAATGGAAAACGAAACTTACATTTTTCTCTGAAAACAAAACCAATGAAAATCACCAGCTGCCATGGAGACGGCAGCTCTCAAATAAGAAAAATCAGACAAGGGAAACAAGGAGCTGCATGTCCTTATTATTAAATATTTTTGTGTATTTAAACATTTTCTTTGCTCCATGTTTATCATGGCTTCATGTTAACATGTAATCTTTGGGTGGGCTAGTGTTTACTTCATTGCCTTTCTCCAGGGCCTAAAAAAATCCCATAGAAAAGCACCTGGAGACTCAGAGTTAGATCACAGGATTTTCAGCAAGAATTACAGAGTCAACCTGCCCATAATCAAGATCAAAAGAATAAAAGGAATGAACTTAATTCTTAAATGCCAACTTGATAAAATCTTATGATAAAAGAAATGAAATAATAATAACTTAATTTTTATAACATAACAGGACTATTGTTAAGCCACATACACGATCTTTACAGGAACATAAATAAACAAACAAATTGAATCTAAACAGGTCAGTCCCCACAGAAACACAGTGAGAAGAAAATCCCAAAACGTTAGACTGAATTCACCTGAGTCTCAGAGTCTTTGGTCACCAAATCTATACAGTCTGCTGCGTCAAAAGCAACATCTTCCCTCTATTTGCAGGTAGAAATTTTCAGTTGGATTCCATGCCAACTCTTCCTCCTCCTCTGCTAAAACTAATCAGCTAAACAATTAACCAACCACTTCGTTAAGCATATAGATTTTTTTAAAAGCCCTGTTACAAGACAAATACAAAACTGAGAATAGCAGAATAAATGACTTTTTCCCCATCCTCACATTTAAATAAGAGAAAAGTTGGTGACTCATACTAGCTGAGACAATTTAACTAAAACAAACAACATTCAAAGTATACAATTAAAATAAAATATTTTCCCCTCCCAATTTCCCCTTTCTATAATTAATATTGCCAGAGCTTCCCAGTTGGAGGGTTAACAATATCAGGAACCTGCTACAAAATATTTCAGAGTTAGGGACCGCAGTCTGCTTCGTGCTCCTGCTTCTCCCAACCCACACAGGGCACATGGTCTTTTGTAAAGCAGCTGCCCCTGACTACTTGCCCTCATGGAGTCTGAGTCCAGCAACAGGGAGCCTACTGAGCATGCCCCAAACTACCACACCCAATTCCAGAAACTTCTGTATGTGGCAAGGTAATTGTGCATCTACTTAGCAACAATGACCCAGACATAATTCATTCCTACCCACCCACCCCCATTTCTTAAAGAGATATCTCCCTATTAGGCACCTGGGTTACAAACGCACCCCGTGAAAATCTGTCTACGGTGATTGTAAGTGAGGAGGACTGATGGTGATTCACTGTTGCATCCATTGCTTAAATGCCATCACTTTGAAATATTACAATGGGCTTCCCAATGAAACACGACTCTGGGCCGCCTCCCACAGAGTGTAACACACAAGTGGATACAACTAAGGACACATTGGCATTGTTCTCAGTTGTCCCTCATTAGAGGGGACAAGCCCGTTTAGTGCCCAATTTACCTTTCCCCTTCTCCCCTATGCAGCTTTGAAGTTCTAGTTTTTATCATTGTAGACCATCTGCAGAGGAGATGTTGGATCGTGAAGCAGACTCTAGCTATTAGATGAGATTTTCCAAGCTGCCAAAGAGAGTTGGATGCCTAATTCCTATTTGTTTTAATGGGAAATGAGCATCAAAACCCCTTAGGTAGCTTTGAAAAATCCCACTCACTGCGCTTGATGTTAAAATAATTAGCACCATTTTCTAGATAGGTCCTTATAACGTGCTCATTGCTGAAGTATTTGATCACCTTCTGGTAGCGCAGAAGCATTGTGACGAACATCTCTCACATGTTGCGTTCTCCCATCTTCCCCCCAGGAGTGTGCAGTGAAATGTTTTGTTTTGGTAGGGTTTTGTTTATGTTACACACACAAACACAAACACACACACACTTATGATACAGAAGGCCAGGTCCAAGAAATGCACCATGCACTTGACCTGGAAGTTTAGGGTTAATTCATATAATTTTAAGTGTCCTGCACCCTTTTTCCCTTGTGGCCCTAATCTGGAGCCTTGTCTCCCGGATTCCTCCCATATTTGGGCCTCAGGAATGCTAGCTGCCTGCACCACAGCTGTGGTTTCAATGGAGTTATAAGATCCCGCCTTTTCCTCTTCAAATCTCTCTTTATAGCCTTCCGACATTGACAGGTCTGTACTAGCAATGGCGTGGCAGGGGATGCTGTGCCTGAACTGACCGGCAGCAGGCGAGGTGCCAAGGAATCCAGACCAAAAAGAGAGAGAGAGACGCTGGGGAAAGGCAGTGACCAGAGATGGAGAGAGAGAGAGAAGTGAACTCTTCTGAGCCACGCTTTGGTACCTCAGTTTCAGAGTAAACTAGTGAGAGGTGTTAGCTGATCAGTGGCATCAGCTCTCACGCTTTGCTTGCCATTCTCATGATATTTGGTGTTTTTCTTAAAGCCTCAGCTGCTGAAGTCAAGAGGATCCCAGCTTTCATTTAAAAAAGACAGGATGTTTCCAGCCCTCGTGGTTGCAGAGAAAAGCTTGGGAACATGAAGCAGGTGCACTGTAAAGGTTCAGAAACCAAAAAGCAAATAAAAAGCAGCCCCAAATGATTAATATAAATAAAAATCATTATTTTTCTGTCAATCTCATGATTTTTGTGGGGCTTAACTCATGGTGTTTGACCTCTTGGGACTGGAAATACTGGTCAGCTGACGCGTTTCTTTACTCCGGCCACCATGTAAAGCAGGAAGGGACTCCTCAGTCAGTCAGTCTTTCCTGCCGAACTCCCGGCTGACCTCGCTTTCCCTTCACCAGAGAGGTCTGATACTCTTGGTTACATAGAACCCAAACCAGCACCTGGCCAGGAGCTCTGGACCATATCGCACCCTCCACCCAGAGGACAGGAAACGTGGAATGGGAAACTATGTCAGAATCCTTCCACGGAGACTCATTTTGCCACATCCCTCAGATTAAGTGGCAGGGCTCAGCCTCAGACATTACAAATACCATCATGGAGGGGGCAGCACAGCTCCAGGTAGGAGGGACTTAAGGGAGAGTAGCGCAAAAGATGATTTACGTTTGCCATCGATACCCTAACCCTGGTGAGCCTGCACTGGTAAAAAGGAAGAGGGATAAGAGCGGTGCAAAGCCAGTTCTACCTGCACATTTGATTTCTTTGGAGCGGTTTGTTTTGGTACCTTGAGGTAGTTCTCCTCCTGCTTATTAGCAATTCACACCACCACTAACGCTGCCCACCCCTGCCCTTCAGCACTACACTCTTAATCAAATCCCATTCAATAGAGCCAAGCTGATCTAATTGTTCAACATCCAAGTTCTCTGTATTTGCGAGGGACAAATACTCCAAGGAGGCACTTTTTGACTGGCCTCCACAATCTACCGTTAGATGCTGCGATTGTGATTTATGGCTTCTGCTAGCAATCAATCTCAAGCCAACGTGTGTATTCGAATGAGGAGTTTGAACTACAGAGGAAAAAAATATGAATAGCCATGAGAGCTGACAAATAATTAATCCTGACTGATAGTCAACAATCTCCCAAATTTCTGCTTTTCAGAATCCACTCTGACCACTGCAGGTTGAATGTTTAAAGCTACTTCGCCTTCCCACAGTCTGGTGCCATTGGTTTATTTAATTAGGGCTGTAAATTTCATTAGTGTCTTTTAATCTTCTCTTACAATATACTTTCAACAGGCTGAGATGTGGAAAAACCCAAACAACTTGTGAGTCCATTTTCCCTGTTGTTCATCGTGACTGGGCCAGATGAAGCCCTGAGGCAGGCACTGTGCGGTCTCTTCCTGCAGTGATCCGAGCCCGTGCAGTGACCCAAACAGGTCTCACCCCTAATTAGGATGGGAGAGAGCATCTCACTGCCAGGACGTGGTGCTGGTTATTCAGTGGGGTGCACCCTTCTTTCTGAGCCAATTCTGAACTACAGCATCAGCTTGATGCTACAGGGCACTGACTGAGTTCGACCATGTGGGGTCATTAAAGAGCTTGAAGCACGTTATGGGGCTTTGTTCTTGTGCACCCTATAAGAACACTCAGACTGACCCTGACAAACCCCTCAAATAAGACAGGGATAGCAGGCTGCCATTCCACAACTTCTACCTTGTTCTTCCAGAGCCCACAGCATCCCCGGATAAGCGAGAGGCACCTCTGGTCTGTTCTTGAGACATTGGCGGATCAGCTGAAATAAAAGTTACTACGTATCTGTGAAACTTCCTGGAGCCCCAGGACTATGAGGCACCTCACTACCACCTGCCCTTAGCATCAGGAAGCCTTGGCTGTGCCTGCCAAGGGTCAAATCCCCACCTCCACCTGCCATGGGCATCACAAGTGCACCTTATCTAGGCCTTGCAGGCCCCACAGTCATTCCGTAGGCTAGCAATCAGCACACTCCAACCTTCAAGCCCTCAAACCCATTGTAAGTTTATTGAACAAAGAACAGAGATTCAAGTAGTAGAAGTAGTAGTACTGGAAATAAATGGTTACCTATAAAATACTATCATAACACACATTGTAGAGCCAAGACTTAATTAACAAGAGACTCATGTCTGGTAGAATATTGCTCACCCAAAACCCTTACAGCCAGGCTGGCCATGACCCTCCTGTCATGAGACAAGCACATTCTCAGTTTGCTTCCTAGGTGAAGGATTCAGTGTGTTGCTTTGCACTGTAAGACCTACCTGAACAATCCTTTGTCTTTATTCATAAATGGGACACACACACACCCCACTGCATTTCTTCCTGTAGATTTACTCTTGTAGATTTTGCAATCTCTATGTCCACACCTGGCTCAGTATGCAAACAAGCACACATTGTGAGGCATATAATACACAGATGGCAGGACAGAGAGATTGATGTCTATCTGCTGCCTGAAAGGAAGATTTACGAGGTACCTTACCTCCTGGTGACCTGCCTTACCTCCAAGATCTTAAGAATATAATTTTCACTGTAGATACATAGCTCTTTAAATAGCATCCACACATACTGTTCGCAATGATTATGACCACCAGTGGGCAACTGGCTCTTGGTAGAGACCTCACATGCCACCCTTCAGTGAACTATTACACAGATATCCAACCCAAGGGATCCCTATAAAACCCCATACAACTCTTGTATCTTCTGCCAGTGGCATCAAGAAGTCCATGGATCACAACATCTCATTCAACTTCAGGGGCACCAGGAGGGAAAGGGGCGGCACTGCATTTGTCCTGCTTCTGTGTTACTATTTTTTGCCTACAGGGCTATGCACTTGGACCTCACATTGCTTGGTTTGTATGGGTTGGGTGGCACAGAAGAAATGGAAATGAAAGGGAATTCTTTGGTAAATTGTTACCTATTCACTTTCAAAAGAATCACATCAATGTTTTTTCCATCTCTATAAAAACAATCCCAGCATTTCACTGGGACCAAGCTCAAGGGGAAGCCACCAA